GCATTCAATTGAACCGAAACGCGGATGGTCACTGGGGTAAACCGTTGCAAGTGGCCAAGTCCAGAGGGCAGAGGCCGAAGGGCAACAGGCAGAGTCCAGAGTGCAGAGGGCACGCATACGCACTCTCTGATTGCATCAAGTTGAAATAATGTAATTAGTTTTTGTGCTGTGGTTGGGTACAGGAGCACGAGCCGGGGCAGGATTCACAACGCAATCCTGTGGAGTGGGGGGGATTGCTGATGTGGCTTTGGCTTTTTCGCTGTTGTTTTTCTTTTTTCCACGCCGAGAGTCCCTGGCAATTTTCAGATCAGTTTGCCAGTGCGAGTAGTGCCAGTGTTTTGGGGCCTCGTTAGCAGTTTGTTTTGTGGCAAAAAGATACTGGCCAAAAAGCGAGCTTTGGAGACCATACTTTTTTGTGTTTTTATGGAAATTTTGATTAAATGGAAAGTCATTTTGTCAAAGGGAAAAAGACCAGTGAGTTTTACCTTACATAACGCCCGCTAGCTATGCAAACAGCCAACACAAGCCCAGTTCGATTCCAATTTAATTCAGCCATAATTCATACTCCCAACATCTGCAAAAGTTGGCTAAGAGCGCCCGAATCGCAGCCTTCTCTATTATTCCAGTCCAATCCCTTTTCGAAGGCCTGGAGTCCGGCACCCGGCACCCACCACCCAGAGACCAGAGACCGGACTCCATTTGTGGCCTACATATTTAAGTATCTCCCTTATATCAAGCTGTCGGGGCGAAAAGTATTTTTGGCCAGATTCCATTCGCGAGAATCAGAAAGTAGTCCGCACTCCGAAGTGGGCCAATTTAATGGCGCGCCCATTACGCGCCATATCCAATGGCCAATTGTGTCCAAAAATTATCGCACCATGGCATGCCAGGCCATCGTTTTGCTGCCCTGTCAAATAATTAATTAGAAATTAATTGCACGTAATAATTCATGTTGCCCGGCGGCCCATTCAAATGGATATACATAGATAGATAGATGGATGGTTGGATGGTTGGTTGGGGAGAAGAAAGCAAATAACCCATGGGCAGCCTGGCGGCCCTGATGGTCGCAGATTTTGTCTGGGCTAATTCCAGCTGTTAATTTTGTATGCATTCGATTGGGTGCGGTGCGGATTCTGCCCATGCCACACAGACAGCACCCCACCACCGGCCGCTGTCATGTCGCATACATCTAAAATTAATCATTGGCATGCAGCATAATTTATTATGTCACACAGAAGCCGCATTGGATTGGCCACCGAAATCCCCGAAACCGGAGAGAGAGGCGCTTACATCCTGCGGTGCTTCGGTTAGGATCGGTTTGACATGGCCCATTTAAAAACAGAGCCACTACCGAGGCTAATACTACGTATGTACGTGTGTGTGTTGCCACCTCAGAGTTGTCATGTGGTATGGTGTCTGGGGGGATGTCGGATGTCGGGCTCTTCAATCAAATGCGAAAATTCGTATAATTACAGGGCCCCGGACAAACTGACTGGCTGCAGGCCTCAAGTGGTGGCGCCATTTGATTTAATCACGTTAATAGCCTTTGCATGTCGCGGTTATACTATACTCCCACCCTCCCTCCACACTTTTGGGCGTTTGGGGGCTGGCTTAGAGAGGTGTTAAATGTTTGTGGTTGCATTGTAATAAACTTGCATGCAAATGGCCGCCCATCAACTTTAATTACGCAGAGTTTCCCATAATGAAGAAAAACTGCCCGTCCTTGTTTGATGATTGATGAAAAATTTTCCTTTTTTTTCACTGGAATTCGCCTAAGGCTTTGTGCGTTTTGTTGTCTGGAGGAGGGCTTTTGAACCTGAAAAGGTGTGAGACGTCAAAGGGTTTCCGGGTGATATGGTTGAGAACCCATAAGTTTGATGGATTGTGTGCTTCTAAATGTGCCATTACAGGGTTTTTTCCGGCCTGCCAGCCCACCCCCGCACAAAAACAATGGAATTTGAAATTTATGATAGCCTTTCAGCAACACCAGTCTTGGCCGTTTGAAATGAAAACACAATTTTGGGGATTTATTTTGCATTTTTTAAAGTTATTTTTATTGCATTTCTCGCTCTTCTCTCTCTGGCATTCTTTTCAAATGTACTTTATATACGAATCTCAAATGTTTTCATTTGCTTGCTATTTTTTTTATTTGCCATTCACAAACAATATTACATTTATCTGCATGTATTTCAAGTGATTTTTCATGGTTTTGTTTCTCGTATTTGCTTCTCTTTTTACTTTGTTTTTTGTTTTGTATGTTTGTTTACAATTTGTCACAACCTTACAAATTGAAAATTGATAAAAACCAATAAGTTTTGGAATTTGTGTACGTGTCTTATTGAAAATTCTCATTTATTCGGTATATGCATGTGAGTGTGTTAACTAAATAAAATTTGAACGGATTTACCTTCACTTGATTTTATTTTTTCTGCTGTTTGGTTGGGCATTTTTCTGCGATTGTTGCTAATATATATAATATATAATACTTGTTTATCGTCTCTGCGGTTCTATTATCAATTTCTGTTATGTAAGGTAGCGGGTTGGCTTTCTCTAGTTTTGGCAGCCTCGCCCCCTTCCAATACACAATGCAAAATTAGAAAAATACTTTTACCATTTTACCTTCTAGAATCTAGATGTTTGTAAGTAAAATCAAGAGGAGTAGTTCAGTAAGGAAAACTGTAATGCTATTTTCAATGGTTTATGTTTTAATTCATATCTTTTATTTCAATATGTGTGTTTTTGCATTTGCTCATAAAAACAAATGGTACAACTTACAATTTGGCACATCATTAAAGATTAGATTTTCAATATAATATATATTTATATAATTTATATTTATACTTTATATGACGCTTAGGCATCGGATCTATGTGAAAGTAAACAAAAAGCTGGCGCTGGCTTATGGTTAAACTACACAGATTACAGTTTCTTCGGATTTGTCACACAGAAAATAATCGAATGAATCGAATTAAATGAAGACATTATTCATATACATCATATATATCGTATGTTCGTATCATATAGCTGCAGTGTTTGATTGAGTTGCGTTTGAGTTTGCATTTAATTTTAATTTTAATTTATTTTGTAGTTTGACTTTCTCCTCAACGCATTGCTTAAGACAAAAATTATTTTTTTTTTACTTAGATTTTTGTTTGTTTGTTTTTTGTTTTGTTTTAAAAGTTTGCGGTGGAAGTTGAGTTCATAATTTAAATGTATGTTTTTATACCGTACCATATTATATTTAAGTTTGCTCTATAACTAGAAGGTTTACCTCTTGCTTTGCTCGTCAAACCCAAACATCTGTATTTGTGAGTATAAGTGTGGGTGTTTAAGAGAGTGTTTGTGTGAGTGATTGAGGGTGGGCCAAAAAGTATGCTTCACTTTTTGGCAAACTATTTGTTGCGCTATTTGAAAAATTCATTAAATTTAATTACGTCTTTATTTTATAATTCACTTGAAAGCTACATTTAATTTGGCAATTGTTGGGTTCGATTTGTTATTCTCTTTATTGTTTTCCATTTAGTTTCCATTTATTCTCATTTTTACTTAACTGCTCCTGCTTCTGTTTCTGTTTCTGCGTCTGTCGTCGTGGCGTACAAACTAATACCTAACTAAAAGTCATTTAAAATATAAACTTTGGCTTTAAAAATGTCAACGTAAAAATAGTATATTAATATGTGTTAATTACGATTAAGAAAGTGTAAATAAAACCGAAAAATACACATATGTATGCTCGTATGTATGTATATGACATAAATGACTTTGAGTTCTCAATACATCATCTTGTTGCCAAGCGTGTGCGTGTGCGTGTGGTTTCGCTTTGTGTGTGTGCGTAAGAATTGTGTGTGTATTGGAGAAATTAAAAAAAAAATGTATATCCTTTTTCATCATAAATATGTACAAAGTGAGACACAGTGGCTAAGTGATTAGATTGAAATAAGGTCATCAAATTTGAAGCTCTTTGGAGTTGATGAAATTCTCATTCCCTTTCCCTTCGTTCTTAATTTCAAGTAAATTTTTTAGTAGGTTGTTTTAAGGAAATTCGAAGAACACTTAATGAATTGCACGAGTACACACACACAATAATTAGTAGCTTGCTTTTTTTTGTTTTGTGGTTTTCATTTTTTTTTTTAGCATAGTATGGTTGATAAACAACTAGTATAAATTTGAAGACAGTAGCTGCCTAAGAATCAAAATAGAGAACGACGTCATTTTGTTTGGTTGGTTTCCATTGAGCATTTTAATCATTAACAGTTGAAAAATACACAACGTTAAAAGTTTCTTTTTGTTTTGGGTTCCTTTTTTTTGTTTTTGTGTGTGCATTAGATTTCGAGTGTGTATAAAATAAATTCTTAGTTTGCTTAGGGAAGTTTCAATCCGGTCTAGACCGAAAGTGAAAAACATCGAAACGACGCAATGCTTCTTTTTTGTATTTTTTCTTAAATTTCTTTGTTTTTGTTTTTTTTCTTATCTTTTGTTTTTTTTTTTTACACAACACACAAGGAAAGTGCTACGGAGTAAGAGCTAAAAACTGTAATTTTTAATGCTTATTATTCGATTTTCACATCATTCATCAATGGCTTTTTTGTCACTGGAAGCTTGACTTTCTAAAACTAATATATATATATATATTTTTTTTTTTGTTCATTTTTCAAATTTTGTGTTAGGTTTTCTTTTTTTTTGCTTTGCTGCTATGGCGGCAATTAAAGTAAATATTATTGTATATTCCAAGGATATGTCTACGTGTTGATCTTTTTGCATTTACCTATGCGCTACAGTTTTTTGAGCAATTCGAATTGAGTTTAGTTTTGAATTGAGTTTTGAGTGTGAAATGGTATTAGCTGCCAAAATATAATATAATTAGGAACAACAAAAGCAATATATTAAAAATAAATTCGTTGAAAATAATCGGTAAAATACAGAAAATGAGTATTCTTTGGGTAATCAAAAACTAAATTCTACAATCAAATAAATATATATTTTTGTTTGTGCTTAAGCCTTTTGCAAATAATATATGTATATATGTTGATGTGCTGCGCTTTCTATAGAAGATTCTCAGTTCCTCTCCTACAATGCTAATGCTTTAAAATAATCATTTAAATCAAAAAAATCTAACTTAGTTGAACAAAAGGACATAATTAACAACCAAAGGATTACATATAGGTTTAATATTTGTTTTTGATGATGTTTCAGCATGAAGAGTACCTAAAAAACATTGCTCTTTCTCTGCCTGGTTTCTGATATACAAATACAATGCCTATAATAACTATATATCATGTTGGTAATATATATATATAAGTGTGTATGTATATATAAATTCTGATCTGCCGCACAAAGTTTCAGCTTTTTGTTCTGGTAAAAATCTACGCATGAAGCACATTTTTCATTTCATTGTTGCAAAACTATTTTGCAATTTGAATTTATGCTTTAAATTTTTGTTTTTTGTTTTTCTTATATAAACTCCATAGAACTGCATTTAGCGGCGTATATTTGTTTTTGGTTTAGCTTTTTTTTACGCTTTTGCTGGACGACATTGATTTGTTTATTTTATTTTATCCTTTTTGTTGCTTAGCTTTGATTTTCAACTCTCCAAGATTTTTGAGCGTCTGTTTTTGTTGCAGATTGCAGATTGCAGATGTTGATTTTGCCATGGTAGCTGCTGCTGCTGCTTTTTGTGTGTTGAGTATCTTGCATCTATCGTTTTTTAGTTGTAACTTCTACTTACTGCACAATAGGGAGGAGTATTACGTCTAAGTTACTTATTTGCTTTGCTTTGCCTTGTTCATATATTGAGCATTTTCATCGAGAGTAGATTGAGTGCATTTTTTGGCTGACTGGCGTAGATTGTTCTTAATATGGCGCGAAACGATTGAAGCCACCACGATACATGGTCGCCTGTTGTAAAAATTAAAAGAATAAACACAAATATGATTATTTTTCTCAAAATAAAGATAAAAAATGAAAGAGTATCTGTTAGAAATGAAAGAGTCTTACCCCGTAGCCAGGAACTGGTCCAATGCCATGTCCTAGATAAGGATCTGCATATTCGCGCGCATATCTATAAATATTTGATGATGGATTTTTAGCTTATTAGTAAGTTTATATATATTTTATTTGGTTTTTATAGTGAATTATGATTGATGGATAATGCCAGTGATATGTTATAAATTTTTATGTTATATTGTTCGTCTCTTCGCCTTCAAGTTTATTTTTTTTTTATTTTTTATATTTAAGAAAAGTTATTAAGTTTTGATAGAGTCTTGCAATAGCGCTCTATCTTTTGCTGAAGATCATCAGTTTTTCGTATCTCCTGTCTACACTTTACGCAATTAGACAATTGTTTTACAAAACAAAAGAAATAAAATCAAAAAATTAGTCAATTTTGAAAATAAAAAATCAAATAATATATAAAAAAGCATAAAAGTTTACCAGTAATAAATATTTTCTAAAGTTTTCTAAAAGTAATAAAGTAAAATCTAACTAAAAATAAAACAAAATCATAAATATAATAAATAATAAAATAAAAAAGTAGAAATAATAAAGGTAAATAATAAGACAGTGATAAAACAATAAAATTCTTGAGTAAACTACTCAGAATCCTTCGTAAAGCTTTAAAAACGAAGCTTTATAAATGGAGAGGCAGTGGAGACTATATGTATGTTATATATTTAATCGGTTATGATTTTAATATTATTATTTATATTTTTTTGATATATTTTTTTGGATGGATTTTGATTTTTATGAGTGATTTTTATGATTTTTGTATTTATTTGTTTATGAGTGATTGGCAGGTCATCTTTCAACCTTCTCCGTATTTTGAACTTACCCAGCTACGGTGGCGTAGCCGGCTAGTGCCGGCTGGGCAGCCGCTGCGGCGGCAGCCCCATAGGCGGCCCTGGCAGCTACCGCCGTGTAGGTGGTGGCCGCCGTGGCGTACGCCTGCTGCTGGGCCTGAGACAGTGGGGTCTTTAACAGCGGAGCAGTGGCCTGGAATAGTGGTAAGCAGATGGGGCATTAAAACTGGGCCAACTCAACGACTGCATCTCGAGATCGGGGTTGGAAGGACATATGCTTTTTTATATATATATTCATTTTTTTTTTTGGTTGGGACTACAACGGCAAACGACAATGCTAGGCAGAGTTGGTAAAGAAGGACACAAGTGACAGCAAGTGTTGTGAGAAATTAAGAACCCAAACCGATGGTGGGGGTACGCACACATATATACTTATATAACTAGGATAACCAAAACCAAAAAAAATTCGGTGCAAAACAATGGGATTCAATGTGTGCCATAATAAATAAGTAAGTAGTCTATGTACACTTAGAAGTTATAACGCTAAAAGGCAGTAGAACCATCGAAACCGAACTACGAAGAACCCAAGATGCCAGGCCAAAAACAACTGAAAAGCACTGTTCGAGCTTCGAACCAGATAATAACTTAAAGTATTCGATTAAAACTAGGGTTAACTTAGGACTTATTGCATAAAGACATACGGATTAAAGTACGTGGTGCATAAAAAAGGCAAAAAAATGTGTCACAACAATCAAACGGAACGCAACTTCAGGATCACTTTTGGGGGGTGGGGGTGCATTGGAAATTGGACTAGAACTATATATGATTATTTTTACCAAAACATTCTGTGGAACCGGAATGCGGTTGATCGTATGTGGGTTACTGTTTAGCGTAGTCACAGTGCGGCGCTGTAATTTATGGTTTCGAATTTCAGTAATGTTTTTTTTTTTTTTATTTTGTTTCGATTGTGTTGTTGTGGTAATTGTTGAGTGGATGTTGTTGGGTTTAATGTAACAGTGGTGAGAGATAACCAAAGAAGAGTTTGTAGTTACAATATACATTTGTATAGAATATATTGGTAGAAATACGTTTGTAGATATTTAGCGAAAGCAAAATAGTGAAATAAAATATGACCCATGAATTGGGGTTGATATTAGAAAGGAAAGAAAAAGAAGCGTATGCTTTATAAAGCTTCCTGTGGTCACCACTAATTATTATTTGCTTTTTGTTTTTAAGTAAAATCAAAAATGTCATAAGTTGGTAATGCTCAAACCAAACAAAGGATGCAATTTTATAGAGTAGAGAGCTTATACACAAGTGTTCAATTATTCAAACATTGAGTTAAAAGTAAGCTGAGCTAGGCCGCTTTCCGGCCTTAGTCCGTGTGAAAACAAGGTGTTTTACGACCAAAAACTTTACCAAAGAGTTCGATACCTCAACGAAAACATATTACACAGCAACAAATCAAAAACGCGTCTCAGTTAGTTGTGGTATAGATAGTTTGGTAGTGGAAAATGCAAATAGGAACACAAAAGGCAAAAAGGAAGCGACTTAAAACATAAATTACGTATAAGTTTAAGTATAAGTTTATAAAAAAATAGAACGTTTGTTTCCAAAAACCAAGTCAAATGTTTTTTCAAAACTTAATCGGTGTCTTTTACAAGCTACCATCAAAAAATACAAATCATAATCATAATATTTGTATCATTATCTTTTCTGGTGGTTGTGGTTAGAGGAATATTATTTTGAAAAAGTTTCATTACATTTAATATGGCGGCTGGCTGAGCGGCTGGAACTTCAGTGACCGGTTTGGCTGCCTGTAAAATTTGTATATAATATTTTCATGTATTTTCGTTCGAAAGTTATAGCACTACACTAGATTTTATTCTAACTTAGGGACATATAGAATTGATAGCCTATTTTATAATAATATTATTATTAAAATAAGAGGACACTCACCTGGAAGCGTAGATTTGGATCAGCGTTAGCAGCGGCTGCTAAGAAGGGATCATAGTATACACTGCGTCGGCGTAACGAGATGGATGATAGATAGAAAAATTCATGGATTAATAAATAATCATAAATGGCAGGGATAAGTCTTTGTAGGTGAGGAGAATACTGTAGAGGCAGTCAAAGCATAATTCATAAATTTTGCCTCCAATTTGGTTTTAAACTGTGACTGCCTCCGTTCAATTGAAGGCACTTAAAAGCAAAATTCAAACATTTTATTTTGGTTCATTTTTTTTAACGCACTTGTGTGGTCTTTTTTGATTTTTGGGCGCTTTGAGAAACCAGAGCCAGACGGGATAAAGTTTCCTCGTTAAAAAACAAATCGAAATACTGCAGGCCTGGCCAATAAAACTTTATCCCCGTCCGGCCCGGTTTTTGATTGTTTGTTGTTTCGTTAATGTTTTTAAATTTTCTTTTTTTTTTTATATATATACCGGATGCTGTGGGTAAATGGCTGAAACTTAAGGCGCAACTAAAAACCGAAAATTGGCACCTAATTGTTGAGTATATATGTATACCCCGCCTACCTACGAAGCCTAAGACTAACAAATAACCTGTTCTAAAAACTGACCTGATCTGACCTGATTCCCCACTTGATGACGAACTGATTGGAAGAAATGTTTAGACAGAGGAAACGAAACAAAGGAAAATTATAAGTTTTATAGTATATTGTCGTACAGTATAGAATAGGGTACTAGCAAGAATATAGCCAACCAACCAACCACATACAAAGGTCATTCCATTTCCCAAAAGAACACTACGAAAATTGTCTTGCTTGCTTGCTTTCCATTAATTGTTGTATGTTTGTATTTTTTTTTGCATTTAATCTTTAGACAGAACAGACACTCATGCACCTAGCTAATTAGTTATGGTTTTTTTGTTTCAATTTGCGTGTTTTTTTTTCTCATGACGAGTGTTTATAAGTATACAAGTATTTAATGGAGCATTCATTCATACGCTATTGTGGTTGTGTGGTTCCAATATGTGGGTGTGTGTGGGCGGGTGGTAGTGTGTAAGGAGTGTAAAGAGCAGCCACGAAAAAAATTCATGAAATCAAGTTAATGAAATGTCTATTATTATAGAGAGATATATGTATATATATGTACGTATTCGGGGGGCAGAACATGCACGCAAGGCGCTGGCAGAGACGCTGGCGACGCAGACACTTTAAAAAACACTTTCAAGTCAAATTCAAATTCGAAATTCATCATACGCCTAGTGGTACACAATATACAATCGAGTAGTAGTAGGTAGGTCCCTTAACCAAAATATAATGATAATAGGTATTAAAATAGATGCCAAAAACACACTGCTTTCAGTTCTGAGTATGAGCAAATATATATGTGTAGGTATTATATATAGAATTATAGATATTTTACGTGGATGTGTTAGCGTGCGTTAATCAGTTGCGACTTTTGCATTTTCAGTTGTATTTTTTGAGTTTTGTTCGGTTTGTTAAAATCATCTATTTTTGTTGTTTTTTTTTTGCTTCATTTATACATATTAAGTCAAAGTCTAGTTTCATTATATGCGGATATTAAAACTTTACACACACAAGATAGCTAAAAAAAACATTTTTCACCAACAAGATAGAGAGAATAACACAGACAGATAGAAATATGAAACTAAAAAAAAACAATCTTTAAGCTATAAACAATGTAAGCTGAAGATTTTAAAAACTATGAATGATGAGAGGGTTGGGGGTTCTTTGGTTAAATATGGGGATATGGTTTAACAAGTAAGGAATATATACTACGTTTATGCGCCTGCTGACTGGTAACAGGATAACCAACCCAAATATTAAAAAACACTTCAGAACTTAAGTTTTTATATATTTAGTTCTTTAAAAATTGAATTTTTTTTCAGAAATTAATTGAGTTTATGAGTTGAAATTCTTTTAATATCATAATTAAGCATGCGCATAAACGTAGTATCATCATTTTTCAAGTTAAAAGGTTCATGTTCATGAGGCATTGGCAAAGATTAAGGTGCTCTAAACTACATTCAAGGTAAGGATTAAATCAAAGTACAACGTTACGGGACTACGGCAACAAACTACGGCGGTTCGAGGGTGTGACACACGGAGTCCGGTTACGACGGACTCTACTTACGGCGCGAATCCATGCAAAGCGGCAGCGCTGTTGGCCGCATTGGCCGACGCAGCCATGGAAGCAGCAGCCGCAGCAGCAGCGGCCGTCTGGGGTGTCTGGGTGGCGCCCGCTGCCGCCGAGAGTCGGGCGGCATAGGCGGCCGCGGCAGCAGCACTGGCAGGATTCTGGCCCACTCCGGCCGGGTTTTGGGCAGCGGCGGCGGCGGCCGCGGCAGCTGCCAAAGATTGCTGCAGAGCTGCGGCATTGCCGGCAGCCGTGGGTACCGCCACTGCTTGCAGGCCGGGCTGCAATTGCGCCAGCTGGGGGGCATGGGCGTGGGCGAGGGCGTGAGCGGCATGAACATGGGGATGCGAGGCGGCGGCTGCGGCGGCGGCTACGGCGGCGTGCTGTTGTTGTTGGTGCTGCTGCTGTTGCTGCTGGTGTTGTTGCTGCTGCTGTTGCTGTTGTTGTTGTTGCTGCTGCTGTTGTTGCTGCTGCTGCTGTTGGTGTTGCTGCTGGTGGGCGGTGGCGACCTGCTGCTGCTGCACCTGCTGGGCGGCCACGGCTTGTTGTTGAGCGGCTGCTGCAGCCACGGCGGCGACGGCCGCCTGGCGTTGCTGCTGCTGTTGGGCGACTGCGGCGGCCGACGCCAGCAGCGCCGGATGGTGGTGCGGATGATGGGGATGATGGTAGGGGGCGGCGCCGACCACGCCCACATGTCCGCGCTGGATGGCCACTCCACGCATGGCGGCGGCAACGGCGGCTACAGAAATATATATATATCCGGAGCCGGAGGTGAGTGCACCGAAACACAAAAGTTAACAACGAGAGTCGGGTCGTTTTTGTTTCGTGATCGTTTTTCAATATTTTTTTTGGTTTTTTTTGCAACGATTTGACACAACATTTTCGACCAGTGTGTGTTTAGGTGTGTGTGTGTGGTTGTGTATGTATATGTGTGTTTATTTGTGTGCAAAAAGTAGAAAAAAGGAAAAGAAAAGAACATAAAACGCATGCGGTTAGTTTTCTCTCTTGATATATATAATCAAATATTTATATATATTTATATATATGTATAGTATATATGGCAAATTCTAGGCTTTATGTAGTAACGATTTTTTGTTTTTTATATATAAATATTGTAGATAGCGCTGAAATGATGTATATATACATATAACAATACATAAGACATACGTGTAGCTCATACATTGTAAATGGGATTTATATATCGAAACATACTTAACATTAGAACACTGAATTACCAAGAAATGCTACGCTGTAGTTGCATCTTATATTGCATATTCATATAATTGTAATGTAATGTAAGAGATATTATCATCAACAATACGAAAAAAAACATTAGACCGATCTTTAGTACAGTAGTAGGCATATGTACATACATCCATGTGTATGCGGCAAGACCATTTTTTGTTTCATTTTTTATGTTGCATGTTTTTTTTTTGGTCAACAACTCATTAGCATTTTGTGTGTGAAGGTGGGTGTGAGGGGGTTCTGAGTTTGTTAAAAGCTTTTAAAAGTAAATAACATACACATAATTTCCGTTTAACCCTTGCACCTTGATCCAAAAAACTAGCAAGAACATTTACCAAGTGCTATTGAAATTGGGATTATTTTGGGAAAAGGAAATTTGGGAAAAATATAGTATAGTAGGTTCTTCATGCTGATTGAAAAATTATAAAAGAGAAGCTGTCCTTGTTTAATTCCGCATTTCATCACAAAAGCCACACAGTTTTCAAATTGTACTTTTATTAATTCCACGCGGTTTTCTCACTCAATTTATAATAATGCCGGCCTGCAGGTCTCATAATTAACAATTTCACCAGAGAAAGCCACAAAAGCTGACTCACAACCAGAAATCCTGGTCATTATGATCAGCCACAGGTATTCAAATGCTCTGTGTCGCACCACTTGGCTATTATTATTATTGAAAATCAGCACAAAAAATAATTATTGAAATGTATGAAATTATTTTTCAGTTCTGAGTGAGCTGAACTCAATGTTTTTGGCAACATTGTGCCACAAATTGAAATTTTGTTTGGCCAATGTGCAATTAAAAATTCGATTTGCTATATTTGTATGCAAATGCTTTTGACCAAAAAAAAGGTGGAATTATGTGCGAGAGCGCAAAGAATTTTGGAGAAAATTTTCATAAAATTTGAGCTGGAATTGTTTCTGCGGACAGGCACATTGTGCACAAAAGTTATACAAATTAAATAGTCCGAAAAACAAAATTATCAAAAGGAGTGATATGGAATGGCTATGGAATGGTGTTGTGGTGTCGGCATGCAAAAATCAATTTCCTTAATTCCGTTTGATTTTCGCTCGGTGGATTTTGATTGGCAAATTGAATTCGTGTTCTAACGAGGCCAGAAGCGCAGTTCAAATCAAAAACGAAAAAATTCAAAAATCGTGCAAACTCCAAACGTATAAAATTAAAGCATTTTTCAAAAGACAGCTTTTTTGGGGATATAGCAATAGAGATATAGATAGGGGATAGTGGGCGGGGGGATAGTTAAAACAAGAACAAAGATAGTACGAGAGAGTATGATTGCTAGAAAGTAATGCTCTAAGAGAAAGGCCTTACAAAAAAATGCTTGCTGCGGCAAAATGTTCGCTCTACCGATAAACATTACGATATTTCGATAATTACGATATACATTTGTTGACTATTTCGGTTAAAGCTAAGACCTTGTCATACTTAACAGCTAGTTAACGGTTACAGTTTCTAGATTTTGATATAAATTGTGGGTTTCATTAACTTCTCGATCGATCGAGTCGAGTGTCAAGTGTGGGTGTGAGTGTGTGCCTAGACGTTTGAACAAATGCAATCTCAAGGACGCCAAAATGTATGCAATATTTATAGAATATATCGATAGTCAAATATAGTCATACCCATAATGCGTTAACCAAAGTAACAAGACAACAAACATTTATACTGGTATTATTATGGTACAAAGATTCTCATAGCTAAAAGAGTTGGTGAAGACTTGGTTCTGGTTCTGGATCTAATTGTTTGTGTTGCAGTGTTTTTTTTTCTCATTTTTTGTCAAAACTTTTATGTAGTTTAGTGTCAAGTTTATGAAAAAGGTGTTTAAGATTTTTTAAAGATTTCAATACCAAATATTAAATTTTACTCTGATATTTTCTTAAATATTTTTCAAAACAACCACCATTTCTTATAAACTTGACAATATTTTTCGAAATTATGTTTTTTTGAATTCTGCTTTTAGGCGCTCGCTTTCACCAGAGACTTTCTTTTATTTTTTGTGGACACTTGTTGTTATCGTCGTACCTCCGCCGTGGCGTTGCTGCTGTCGGCGCTGCTGTCTGGACAGCGCTGTGCGGTGGGCGTGGCGCTAATACAATGGGCGTGGCCGCTGCAGCAGCTGCTGCCGCTGCTGCGGCATGAGCAGCTGAGGCCGACGTCGCCGTTGCACCGCCGGAAACCGCCGACTGCGGCGCCTGGGCCACCGGAACGGAAACGGGCAGGGTCAGCGGTGTGAGGGCGGGGGCTCCGGCGCCGACGGGGGCGCCCAGGAAGGGCCAGGCGGCGGCCACCGGCAGGCGATAACCTTAGGTTGGCATACACAGTTCGATTAAGTTTATGGTTTTTTTTTCTATTTCGTATATTTTTTTGCTGGTCACCATTAGAATGAACTTAGAGATGAGAGTAGTGGGTGGTGTGTGTTAGGTGTGCGTGGGTATTTCTTTTCGATTTAATAGATATATACATTTTCGAAGGGATGCATGATGATGTTGCTGTTTTTTTTGTTGCTTAAATCTAGTGCTAAAGTTAGACTTGATTGGGTCGGTTTTTAATTTATTGTTTTTGGTTTTGGCACGCGACGAGAGTTACCAGTTACAATTACGAGTACGAGTATAAATAGTTGTACGCTAAGGAGCATTTCAGACATGTTCAGACCAAAGGATTACCAGACCAAACGTAAAACGTAAAACGTGTAATAACTAAAATCAGGACAACAAAGAAGTACACAATAATCAATAATCATAATCATAATAATCGAACGCACATACAACGAAACTGGTTAAGAAAAAGGATATGTAGATAAAGTAGTTGGCATATAAGTTGATATATAAAGTATATATAGTAGGTAGTATGCATAAGACAACACAGCCGCAATATGCTAAACTCATAACCATCGTTATAATGATTGCAAGATTATCTCAGTCATTATCTCAATCATCATCATCATTATTAATAATTAATTATCAAATCAGGACTAGAAAGAAAGTGGCAGTCGCGCCTGCTTTTATACGAAAAAAAAAATTACAAATTGGGATTTTCGAGCGGGTGTTAATATGGCTTTTAATGATTTTCAAAAAAGTTTTTATTCTTGGTTTGGTAAGTTTTCTAGCTTGGTATTTCTCACTTTGATTGAACTTTGGTTATATGCACAGAAAAAAAAATAAAAATAAACAAGTTTAAAAAAATATATATAACAAACAGTTTCAAAATAAGTTGCAGCATTAAATATTTATATGATATGCATAGTTCAATGTAAGATTAATGCCATTTCCATTGGGGTTCCTAACAAAAATAAATCATAATGTTTGTGTATATGTATATTTTCTATGAAACTAGGAAAATATCTCGACCAACAGAAATCAGTTGTTTGTTTTGTATTTTCTTGCCAAATATACATATTTGCAGATTTGCAATCAAAAAACAAAAGGAAAATAACGAAATGCATTTGCAAAAATGGTTTCATTTGGGTGAACTTTTCTTATTTTTTTGGACATTTTGATCCTCCCGGCGATGAACCTACTACACACATTGGCATTTGTATCAAATATATATGTATATGTATATCAATGACCCGTGTATCAATATCAGCATTTGTGCCCTGCCTAGATATTTGTTTTGCTTTCGTTCTTACAGACTAAAAAAATCATTGATAAAACCTCTTAAAATAGATGTAGTTTAATATATATATATATATGTAGCTTTATAGAAACAAAAACTGGTCAATTATTGTACATTTATGATAACTTATTGGTTTTATGTGTGTGTGTATGGGGGTTCGGGGTCATCATACTTTGTATGGTGTGTTTAATTGTGTGATTTATTTGAGAGTTTACAACAAAAATACGGCAGGCAATAAATACGTAATAATAGCAATAAAACATTTAAGAGAGTAATGTGGACAAAACGCTTACCTTCTGGCCATTGTACGCAGACTATATCCATCGAACGATTCAATGTTTCATTTATTTTTATTTTTATTATTTTTCGTTTTTATTGTTGGCATGGAAAAGGCAAAAGAAAATATTTTCATTAGTTTTGCATATAAAAAAGCGATTTTACGTTGCATTTTGTACAGAAATGTCTAGAATAAATATTTTGGTTGGGATACATGTCTTAGGCACATAAAAAACAGGCATCTCTATAACAGATACACTAAATGGTTTTGCATTTTTAGTGCTTATAGGTTAAATACTTAAGAAATTTAATTGATTTGTGGCATTGTGTTTTCATTGCTTGCCGTTGCATGCAGCATCCTTGTCAGAAAGATATTAGGAACAAGGGTCTTGATGGGTTGCTTTGAAATGTATGTATGGTTCGAGTTACATTCATTCGAAATTCTAAAAGAAATTCTTAACAGAACGACAAATAAGCAGTCAATGATTGCTTCCTTCCATCCTTTCACCCAACAAGAAGCCTGTGTCATGGAAATTCCCAGGGATTCTGCAATTGCCTTGAAAAGGCCAAAATAAATACCACCGAAAAATGCAGTGAAACAGACAGACACTTTCAGGATAGCTTGGAGGCCAGGCGCATTAAGTTTAACATGTCAAAGGATCAACGCAAAGGATACAAAAAAAGAAAACATTCGCACACCACCCAGCCAAGTTAAAATGGCAAGAAAATGAACCAGGAAAAGTCAGCGGGGCAAATGGCGAAGGAAAATCAACCTATACTGAGTAAATTTTCTTGCAAATGCAAAAAGTAAGTAAGTAGAGAGAGGATAGCACGGGGGAGGGCAGGACATCGCATTTGCATAAGACATAACAAAACACAGGGCAGAATAAAACGTTTCTGCGGCAACTCCCAGGGTGATGTGCCTCCTTCAAGGATAACTAGAAAACTTTACTTTTTTTTACTAAAATTTATGTGTGTGTGTATTGGGTTGGATGTGCGGTTTGTGAGTATTAGTGCGAGTGTGAGGAGCCACATGTTTGCAACTTTGTGGTTTATTTGCAATTATCCCGACTACCGCTTGACTGACTGACTGACTGGCAGACTGACTGACTGCCAGTCTAGTCTGACTTCCTAACGAGCAGGACAACGACGTGAGTCGTCCTGCGACTGGGTAATAATGCAGCAGGCGATTTGCCATGCAAAAGAAGCCAGTTCGAAACGTGATAAAGCGACTGCCAAGACTGAAAGAAAATTGGGGCCTTTATCCTCAAGCTTTATATATTATTCCTAACTTACTAGTTTGGTTTGTTTTTATTTTGTTCAGTGCATGATATCCTTAAAGGGCTGCTGGCATGGCCTGTAAACTTCCGCAGGTCCACAGACCGTGCAGCATTTAGTGCAACGCAAATGAAGCGCATTAGGTGCACGTTCACATGGCCAAGGACAAGAGAGGTCCAAAGGCAGGATATTTCCATCCAGGATCCAGGACTTGGGACCTGGTAAAAAGCAACCAAGCAGACTCCAGCTACCAGCTGAATCATATTGGCCTTTTTGTGACCAAGTCTTAGTTTTGTTGGCAATACAAAAGCATTTTGCATCAGCTGAAGGATAACCGACCACCAGGGAAAAGTAGCAGCTGGAGATGGAGTTAGAGATGGAGGTGCAGTAGGAGATGTCGATGTGGCAACGTCCTGAGCTGAGCGGCTTTGCCAGGAGACTTCACCCATCCCCATCCCCATTTGAATGGGTTCTCAGTTCGGGTTCGGTTTTTGGTTTTGTTGGTTTGTAAGCGGCTTATCGTATTGAGCGTACCCAAAGTATAGATTTTGCGCTCTGAATACTTTTTAATGGCAAACAGAGTGTAGACGATTTAATCAGCAGTATTATTTATTATACATTTCCTGGAAAAACTTTTCTCGGTTTCAACTTCTTTCACTACTACTACTACTCTTTTTTTCCTTCCATAGTTATTTGTAATGGGAAACTGCGCTAAACTGCAAAATGGTACATGAAATATCTAAGAACTTCCAGCTGAATGAACGTTAAGAGGGATAATTTTTTGATACTTTCGTTTCTGGTGAGATTCTTTTAAAAAAAAATAGAAATCAAATACGAAAAGAGCACTTTGCAATGGACAAGAAAGAGGATAAAGTATGAAGGGACAAATAATTTTATTTTGAAAGAACTAAGTAGGATAATTTCACAAGAAGATTTTGGAGGTTTAAGGTTGAAGAAAAAAAGGATTCATCAGAGTATAAAATTTGTCCTAAAATCGCAACTTTATTTTTTTTTCTTTTGTAACATGCTGGGACAAAGTTGAAACTTTTGTAGAGTTATGTAATTTTGAATTCATTCAGCCAATCGGTTTACTATATATGGTATATATTGGGGGGGGCGGGCGAGTACAATACACAGTTAGCAACAGTTAACGTGCAACATGCCAAGGCATATCGAAGATCGAACGGATATATGAATATAAAAATTTGGGAGGCAGGATCGATCAGTAGGCTCCAAGCAGCGAGCATTCGTGTCTTAGTTTAAATTCGTGGCAGGCAGACAAGTTACAAAAACTAAAAATATCACAAGAATACATTCTAGTTTTAGTTTTTGCTTTTTTGGTTTTTTATTTATTTTGCAAAAGAGTTTAATATTTTTTTTTTGGGTTTAGGGTTTTTGGATTTGCTCACCTAGAGCGGGGGCCGGTATGGCACCGTCTTTGGTCAGTACAACTGTGTGGGGTGTTTCAAGAGAGAAAACAAAAATGAAAATCATATAAATAACGCTGATCAATCATCATCATCATCATATCAATATGGTCGTAATATCATAATCAAAGCAGACGCATTTAAACATAACTTAATTAATATTATATATTATTTTAGTGTGTTTCGAAATGTGCATAGTTAGGCAGCCGCAAACCCCAAGAAACTAAATTACAAAAATATACAAAAAAGGCAACAAAATTCTAGCAAGTTAGTGGCACACCCAAGTTAACAAACTTTGTTTTTTAATGAATTGTTTTTTTTTTTCTAGTTGAGTTCTAGCGTGTTTTGCCAAAAACGTAACATTTTCATTAGGAAACACACATTCGCTGGCAACTCAATTTCTCAGTTTCAGTCAGTTTCTGTTTTTGGCCACCAAAGAAGTTGATGTGAAAACTTTCAAAAACAAACAACAAACAAAAAACATTGAATCAAAAAATAACAAAAAAAAAAAAAGAAAATGAAAGAAAAACTTAAGGAATGTTAAGAAACTAACAATGGCCGCAAAAACAATGCACACTTAAATTTAAGCAGACTTTTATTGTTGCTTCTGGTGGTAGTGGTGATGGTGCTGCTGCTGCTGCATTTCATCGTAATTGCATTTCTTTGGCGAACATTTGAACTTGTTTCATTATGTGGCTTAAACTTAGGCTGCTAGGATATATACGTATCAGTGAGCTGGGTGTAGGCGAGTGTGTGGTATGGGTGTGGCTATGATAGTGTCAGTGTGTTAGGGTCACTTACCGTTGGGTACTGTTGTCACTTTTTTGGTTTGTACACGTGCAGTGGCGTTATTCACCTTCACAATTGGTTATTAAAGTTTTTATTTTTTATTTTTGATTTTTTGAGAGATCAGCGAGCGTGGTTGTTGTTGTAGTTGTTGTAGGTTTGGTGATGAGTTTTTTTTAAGATATATTTATATATATATAAAGATCGCATGTAGAGAATGTAGAAATAAATTATGTGTTAGTTAACAATTACGAAAATATTTGCAAATTGTGTTCAAAGTGTTGGTGGTGGTAGGAAAGGAACTATGTGTGAAGGCTTTCTTTTTTTTTATAAATTTCATTTGTTTCGATTAAAAATACAAAAGAAAAAAGTTGAAAATTAATTTTTCATAGCCTTTCGGTTTTCAGGACAGACAGGACCGGGCTGGCTGGACATGCGTTTCCGTTTCCGGCTGCCGTTTGCGGACACAGAGACTTAATTAGACTCGCGCGATTTCCGCTGCCAATGGAATCGGAATTGGAAATGAAAATGAAAATAACATGGCATTGCATTGCATTGCTGCCTTTTATGCGGCTCAGTTAATTTGTTTAAACGACCGACTGACCCACAGCCATGGTCGTACATTTCGGTACTTTGCGCATTTTCAGCATATTTTAAATGCCAATTATTTGCGGCTTGGCAGCATTGGCATTAATCAGAAGAAAGAACGTCCGAAAGGAAAAATGTGTAATTAATTTTTAATGAAAGGCAAATAAGAATCAATCACTGTGGTGGCTAGAGGGTGGCTAGTCCTTGAATGAAATGAGAAAAAACAAAATAATTATGGAAACTGATTTTAAAGCCACTTTTCGACTTTGACACGCAAGGATTAAAAGTTGAAAAGCAATTTCTATCCAACTACTCCTATGATAGTTTGTGTGGGAATTAGTTTTTTTTTTTTGGGGGGGGTGTGTGGGTGTATGTGTGTGTGTGTGTGTGGTAAGTTGTATATATGATATGGCATGCACCCACCTCGATTTTGCGTCCCTCAACCACGGTGCCGTGTAGACGTTCGCGTGCTCGTTCTGCATCGTTGCTGTTAGCGAATGTTACAAAACCGAATCCCTGCCATTCGCAATCAAACATGCAATTAAAGAAACATATAGAGTATATAGATTACGATTTTCAAAAAAAGAACTAAAGAAAAATAATAAAAAAAAAAAAAAAAATGTCAAATAATAAATAACAATTGTTGGTAAATAGTTTTCAAGAAAACAACAACAACAAAGTCTTCTTTTGGTCTTGTTGAAGTCGTATATAGATATATATAGATATATTATATAATGTAAAGCTAAAGCTACAAATACATCAACAAGGCGGCCAAGGACATGCTTTTCGGACAGGGGCCATTGGCACATCTTTTGGATTTACTTTTCGGGGCTGTTCGGAGGGGGGGAAATTATATATATTTTTTGTTGGACTGCGACTGCGACATGCACGTGCCCTACTTGTCCTCTCCCACTCCACTCCACTCCCCTTGTCCGCCTAACTCTCTAACTCCTTCAGCTTCTCAAGGTGTTTGGTCTCCGGGTCTCCTGAATTATGCACAATCCTCGGTGGCGCGGTGCCTGGGTGCCTTGGTGCCTCGGTAACTATGCAATTATTTTCAACCCGCTCCACTCCCGGACATAATAATACTCGTAATGCTCTTCGAAAAAAGACCAAACACCGTCGACAACGTCTCCCTGGCGACGAACGAAGACATCTCCTGGGAATCCTTGAAGTGCATAATTTAAATGAATTGTGCTACAATTAGATGCAGAATGTTCCGCACAATTGGCGGCACTGGCAGCTAGAGACCCAGAGTCAGAGGGTGGGAGAGGCAGCGACTTAAGAGGCGAACAAGATGGCGAACAAGGAAACAAGTTGGAAGCCAGGACTTACCTTGCTGCCGCGCTCATTGAAAATGATTTCCACATCCAGAATAGTTCCAAATTGCTGCGCGAAAATGGGAAAAATAATAAATATTAATTATGAGCTGGAATAACTTTATGACTTCCGGACTAACTTACCCCAAACATGGCCCGTAGATCCGGGTCCCGGAAGCGGAACGGTATATTGGAGACATGCAGCCTCTTGGGCTGGCTCTTGGCATCGAGAGAGGTGGCCGAGGCGACGACCGGGACTAGAGCATTGTTGAGACTAGGGACAGCGCTGGGTGGTGGCGACTGGACCGCTGCCGCTGCTGCGTTTAGGTGGGCAATCACCTGGGAGGTGCTGGCCGGCACCAAGGTGCCGGCACTGCCATTGGCCATGGTGTCCAGTCCGGTGGTGGGCAGAAGGCCAACACCGCTGCTGCTGGTGGCGGCCAGGGCGCCGGCAGCTATCGAACTGCCCGTCACCGAGGTGGCTGCCGTCTGAACGGATGGGGGACTGCTGCACAGGAGCGGCTGCGGCTGCTGCTGCTGGAGGGTGGGCGGTGTCTGGAGGAGCGGTTCACCGCTGGCCACCGGCGATACACTGCCGGATACATTGCCCTCGGTGGCGTTGCCGTTGAGGTTCAAGACGCCGCCAACTGTGGCCTGCGAGTTTGTTGCGCTGGACGGGGAGCTGCTGAGTGGCGAATTGGGCGTGCCACCGCCTCCGCCCCCACCAGTTCCACCACCGGCGCCAGTGCCGCCTGCGCTGGGAAGGGTGGAGTTCTGTTGTGAATCTGCTGCCTCATTGGCGATCAATACTGTGGACTGGAAAGAAAGTAAAAAAAAATAATTAATTAATTAGAGTTACTAAAGCATAATTAAAGATAATAAAAAATAAGTTTTTAATAATAATTCCTTGTAGTTTTTAATTAACAACATTTTTTCCCTCTGACTTATCCTTTAACTAAAACTTTTAATTATTGAAATATTCTGCACAGCGTGGTCTAAATTGTTATTTCATTACTGAAGTGCGTTTTGAACATTCCAAACTGGCAGAATTTCAAAGTGAAAATTGCAATTTTCCAATCTCATAGCGGAAAACGAGTTTTGAAAACTTTCGAAGGCACTCGTCCCGCTCCTGTTTGCTGCTGCCGTTGTTTGCCATTCCAGTTGTTGGATTTTTCAGGCAAATCGAATGCGAACAAGTGCCGCAATAAATAAACAATTGAAATGAAAATACAATTTTCAAGTGGTTTACATCCCGGCACAGATGGAAATCCTGCACCAAAGAGGGTGTGCCCACGCATCTGTGTCGGTGTGACCCAATAAAAAAAAATACAAAATCCAACACACAGACAGACAAGAACAGGAGCTGCAGGATACCCATATACGATCCACCCAGATATTTTGTGGCACAAACTTGTGTTGACTTATGCAATAAAACTGTCGCACAAACTGTTGCAATATCCCCCATCGATGCCGCGGAAATGTTTGCATTTTGTATTTCTGCATTATTAAAACTGAAAATGCACTGCCATGGCATACTATTGTCCCCCAAGCCCTCGGGCTTGAGCTCGTGACCCACCGCCCTTTCTGAATAATATGAAAAATTCTCAATTCTCTACCAAATTCGATGACAATGCAATAAAAACCAGAATGAACAGCGCGGTCGGAAAAAATAAACCGATTGCGTTCGCCCCATAATGTAGGCAATAGAAATAGCGCTTAACTTAATTTGCTGCGCATTGTTGACACATAAATCTAAACAAATTTCTCTATGCCCTGACAATATAAATTTTTTTTATTTTTTCCTGTTTCTGACCCTCTCACCTCTCCCACCGTGTTGTGCATTTTTTTTTTTGTTTGCATGTTTACCGAACATTTCGGTCCCAAAGTGAAATGGCGTGAAAAACTTTGGCCCCATAAATGGCTAACTGAAGGAGGAATTGGGTTTGGCAACCACTTTTGGGTAGCGGGCGAGGTGAGGCGGGGGAATTTATTGTTTCGGGTATCGGGTTACACGTAAATGACATTTAACGCTTTTTAGTTTATCGAAATGCCTTTGTGCGGCACGCGACATTGCTGGGAAAAAAAGGTCGCCGGCAAGGCTGTGATTTGGCATAAAGAATTTCTGCATAAATTTGAAAAGTTTCAGCCCACAAGCGGCAGGGAATAAAAGGCAAACTCTAAATTGTTTTGATTTGAATATTTTACACCGAACCAGAAAGGAAAGCCAACTTCGGGCGGGCCGAAGAGATATACTTGCGATTAAGATCGGATATTTATTGTAAATATCGCATATCCTTATTATCGCGCATTATTTTTTCGATTTCTTGTCCATTTATCGTGACGGAATCCCTTGAAAATGGTATTTTTCTTTTGGGGTCCACAGTGATGGCTATATCTTCCCCAGTCCTGATCCGATTCTCAAGCATTGTCCTTACAGTTTTAATATAATTTCCTAATTAATCCTCTTGGCCAATTAATTATTAAGATGATAACTAGTAATGGTGTTGAGAGAAATGAATACAAATTTTAAGCATCTGGTTCTTCGAAAGAAAGAAGGAAACCCCCCCATAATGATGACAATGCATACAAAAATGCACTCACAAAGGAGTTCAAGCCGGAGAAACTTTATTCTGGACAGTCTGTTGGGCGCCTAATGAAGATGAGCTTGGTAAACAACAAATAGGAAAAGAAAACATGGAGTGACCACGAAGCTAGCACGTAAATTTCAATTGTGTGCCCAGCTCATCTCTGCTTTTTTTCCATTTTATTTTTTTATAGTCTATTTTTTGCAGTTTTTTCCACTACTGTTTATTTTATTATAATTTTTTTGTTGGCCGTTGGCTGGACTCTGGACTCACAATGCTGAGCACATTTTGTGGGGGCAGCGTTGATTGCAGCTGGTGGTGATGGTGCTGCTGGTGCTGGTGGTGGTGGTGGTGCAGCTGCTGCTGCTGGTGTTGTTCTGGTGGCTGCACTTGCTCCATGCCATGTCCATTTGTCAGGGACGGTTGCGTGACCACCACTGGGAGCAGAGTACAGGGAGCACAGGGAGGAGGACCTGGGAGTCTGCTTCCATTGTACTGTGACTGTGTCTGTGTTTGTGTTGACAGATTTGTCTGTGATAAATTTTGAGATAACAACAAGGATTTGCGTTTTAGTTGCCTGTGTGGTGCATGAAGGACTGGGATTAAGAGACAAAGTTTTTATAGAAGAGAGGACTAAGAACCAGACAGAACCAGGCAGGCAGGCAGGCGGCGGCGACCAACACCAACAATTTGCTTAATTTTTTCTCTCAACTACAGCAGCTTAATTGCTTGGAACATGCCCGGAATATGGAATATCATATTGCATTTAAGGTCTAACTTATAACTACAATTAATTTAAATGCAAAAAAACTAAGACTAAACAAGTGTTTCTATCCCGAATGGATTACCAAGCATTCTCAACTACCATAATTGATTTAAAAGTGACAAGTTATTTATTGCTTTCACAACCTCTTATTCTCTACTCTGGAATATTTATGATTTATGGTTGATTTGGATCTCCAATTTCGACAGCCACATCACTTGGTATTTTCTTTTGACTAATTAATATTGATTCGATGAAAGGATTCTCAATAATTGAGGCAAGAGGACAGGCATTTTCTTCCAAATATTTCAAGTATTTTTCAGATTAGCCTTTTGCTTTTCCACAAAAAAAAAAGCTTAAAATAAATAAATACACGAATTAAATTTTGTATATCTGTTTGCAGGCATAGAATTAATTGGCATTTTCCGGACATTATGCCGCCGGTCAAACACTCGTACACGTACTACATGGCGTATGCGTATTGTTCATGTTGCAAAATACAATATATTTAATTAAATACGAGCTCAAAACACACACACAATGCACACCGCACAACCAAAAGTCAGTCAAAGGTGAAAAACAACAACTAGTAAACTATAAACTATATTTATTGCAATTAATTCAATATTTGCGTATATATTACACCTGCAAGGCACAAACTCTCCTTTCGAAATGGGAGACTGAAATGCAAATAATCGGAATTTGTGCGTGCAGTTACGGTCCATTTGAAAAAAGTATTCCTGCTAAATTATTCAAATGCATGAATCAATTTTCATAAACAAACATCTCTTGAATCCAAACAGGAAACTTTATTTATTCGAATGGTTAGACCAAAAAATACTAATACTCTCTAATCCAGGCTACTAACGCCCAGTTAGTCTCAAGTGTTTGTTTTTAAACTGTAAGCTGCTTTGGTTTAAGGATCTATTTTGATTTGTGGGATGCAGAATCTCCTGGCGATTTAAAATAAATTGCCTGAAAATTCAATTTTTAATTAGAAGAAAAGAAACGATAAACTAGCAACTAAAGGTATGCTACAAAAAAATGAAAACACGTTCCGGAAAAGCAAATACATAGATATGTATGTTCAGGTGAGACAGGTGTTGTTAGAGTGTGGCTGTGTGTGTTTGGAGTGCGTGAGTGTTGGCTGCTGCTGCTGGCACTTTGCTCTCCACCACTGCATTCCGCAATTAAAAATGTAAAAGCAAAGCACCCACACCCGGCCAGAACAACAACCAGGCGGCCAAAACAAGAGGCCTGCTGGCTGTTTGGATAACCTGCTGCCCCCTACGCTTAACAAAAATATTTAATAATAAAATTAAAAATAAATATATTAAAGATACTACTTCAAGAACTCCTACTTTTAAAGAAGACACTACATAATTTTTATTTAAAAAACTTCTTGTTTCTCTAAGGATTATTGTTCGAGTGTATGCCGAGTTGGCCTCTATGCATGTATGCATGTATGCGTAAGTGTGTGTTAGCCAAATCAAAGCCGAGCATAAAACCAAAGAAGACCAAACCCAAACACAACTAGAACCAGAACCAGAGCCAGAGCCAGAACCAAACATTGCAACAAATGCATTTCAAACACACACACTATGTATATTGTGGAGCGTGGTGGGGGAGGGATGGACAAGGACTGGACTGGACTGGGACTGGTTGGTTCAAAACAATTTTTGGAACTGGACTCACCTTCTTCTGTTGCATGTACAACGAGGCATTGACAACATCGGACACACTAGTGGCCACCACCACCGCCGGCGTGGCCACGCCGCCCCCTGAACTCGAATTAACTGTGTTCACTCCTCCCGCCGATCCTGGCGCTCCTGTTCCTGCCTGGGCCACTGCCTGTGCCACCGCTGTGTTGTTGTTGTTATTGTTGTTACTGTTGGTGGTGCCTGCGGCATCGCCGGCCACTTTCATTTGGGTCACTGGCTCAGATACCTGTTTGGCAGCCGCTGCCGCCACCGCCAGCGACAGACTGTCAGCGGCGGAAGGCGCTCCTCCCACCTGCTGCTGTTGTTGTTGCTGCTGCTGCTGCTGGGCCTGGTGCTGTTGTTGGGCGGCGGCTGCCGCTGCCGCAGCTGCTGCCGCTGGACCTGGTGCGGCGGCATAGCCGGCCGGAGCGCCCGGAAAAGGCGCTACGCCCGCCTGCACCATATGCTGCATTTTGAAAAAAAAAAAAAATCATAGAAAGAGGGAAAGAGAAGCAGAGAGAGAGAGAAAGAGATGGGATTATGGATTAGTAAAGGTCGTATAAAAAAGGTGAGTACACCCCCTTAAAAAGTTAACAAAAAAATATTATAATAGCCTTTATAATAAGGGTTCTTCATTAATTTAAAAAATATTTAATATTAGTTACGGAGGGAGGATCTTAAGACTAGTTAGAGGCATTATTCTTCACGTCGATATTCATAGATATTCCTCTTAAAAATCCTTATTATTTACATTTCCTGGCTAATAATTACCCTTTTTTTAAACAAATATTCGTACAGCCATTAAAAATGAAATTTACGTGTATTAGTTTGTTTCCGTTGACACTTTTCCAACTTCCACCCTGTTTTTCCTCCCCATTTTCTCAACAAGGACTCTGCTCTCTACGAGTGTGTATCTGTGTGTGTGTGTCAGTCATAAAAGTGCAAAATTAAATCCAGGTAGTTTATTTTGCAGGTGGCAACCCCTTCGTATCCACAGCCCCAGAGCTTGCCGTATTTAAGCTCTGCGTTAGACAAAGGACACAGGCATACAGGCATACAGACACCATGAGACCCCACCACCAGGATATTCAGGTGGTGTTTCCTTGAGCACAGTAGCCAAACAAAATGCGCTTTAAATTGTCAGTTTTATTTGTATAAATTTTTGCCATTATTTGGCTTGTCTCGCCCGGATTTTCAGACCCAACCTCTGTCAGCATCTATGAAATATGCAAAATTTGCAGCTTATTGTTGGTTATAGTGGAGGAGCAACACAAAACCCACAAAAAAAAAAGGGAGAACTTTTTCTGGTTATTTTTTTTTGTTGGCTGGTTGGTTGGTTGGTAAAAGTGGGAAGAACGGGATTATCGTGCGAGTGGCATTTTAATATGTTTTTTAGCCCTGGAAAATTGTTGGCATTGCCATTGCCAATGAAATTGGCCCAGCTGGTGTCTAGGACTCTTTCTGTACGAAATGGTTATTAATTTTACGATTTAATGCAAATGTCATAGGTATTCAGGTAATGCTCTTAATACTGCTGCATATGACACAAAATGGGAGCAAAATTTCAATTAAGAAACCTATTTGTTGGCATAACAAGACATGCATTGGTTGCATTGGTTTAAGTATTTTGTTAATTAGTTTATTTTAAAAATATACACAAAACGATTTTAAATATCTAGACGGTAGACTATTCTATACGCGGGACACAGTTCATCTATCTTGGCAAGCAGGGCATAAACCAGAACCAGCTCTTTCAACGCGCCACAAATATCCGATGCATTTATTTTATTTATATTTTTTATTTTTTTTTTTTTTGGCACACTATCTACCCAGCTACCCTGCTACTTCTCAACGATTTGCGCTTTGAAAAATTAGCTTGTTAATTAAATGCAAGCCACATATGACATGTTGCCGAGGTGCAAGTATCTGTATCTGCATGTGGATGCAGCATGCCATCCACCCCTTTTCACACACCCTTCCACACCCAAACACTCACTCATCTTGTGACATAATCCCCCCAGTGCAAATTGGTGCTCATGTTGCTCATCCGCCACGTTGGCCCATCCGCCCCTGATGATATATGCGCCTCGAACTCATATACTCTCATAAATATCCGTGTATTTAAATAAACTAAGCAGCGAGCGGCAGAATACAACATGTCATGTTAAATTTACATAAAAATTTGTTGGGGAATTCATTTTGATGTGCCAATGAAAATGTTTTCCTTCCCCAGCAGGACAGCAGGAATGAGGTGCTGATGCTGACTTGCACTTGAGAATGTACCCATGTTCTCTTAATGAGTCTGCCTCATGTCTGACTACGTCTGGCTAAAGTTTTTCATCTTTTTTTCAAAAACGGAAACTTTTCTTTAAACAACTGCCGATAACTTTCTCATAATTCTCAACTGGCTGTCGTTTCATTTTATTGCAAAAGCGGTGGCGGGGTCACAGCACTTGAGCAAATACTTGGCTGCATTCACAAATATTTTTCATTTAATTGCTCTTGAAAAGGACATTTTTTTTCTTATATTTTTCATCAGTTTCGGGGCCATATTTACATGGCAAATATTTCGTTGGGGCCCGTGGAAAATTTGCATTTGTAGTTACTACTCTGCGGAGAGAGAAGAAAAAAAGCGGCAGCTGGCACTGTTTTATTGACTGGGCGGCGGCTGTGGGGTCCAGTCCAACTGCCATGGCTTTTTGTTTACTCTGGCCAGCTTCTGTTTCTGCTTCTTCGTTGGTGTTTTTTTTTGGAAAATTTTCAACAAAACACTTTACGTTTCCATTTTACAACAATTTTCGATGGCTGCGCTTTCAAGTGGCAGTGCCAGTGACGGTGGCGGGGCTTTCAAGAGTTGTCGTCTATGGCAACGATTTTCTGGCTCAGTGTTCAATGCAGCAAAATATTAGAGCAATTTTCCATTCTCATTAAATATATATATGTACATATAGTGCTTTTTCTTTTTTAGGCAGCACACGCTGCGTATGCGTTATGTTTAAGTGTGTCACACATTCCACAGCCCGGTGATTGATGGGCGCCGACAAAAAAAAAATATAAAAGTATATTTATGAAATACAGCTCTCGGTATATAACATAAATAATGAAAGAAAATGCATTTGTTGTTTGGTTGGGAAATGCATTTCGAATTGGGAACTGGAAACGTCAAAGCCAAAAACGAAAAACTATCTTAATTTTTGAGGCAAAAATATTTAGACAGAAACTAAATAAAAAGCCAAAAAAGCTGTCAAAAGTCAAACCGAATTATATATGAAAATAATGTGTGTGTGTTGTGTTTGTTGTGCGGTTTCAGTCGCATTACATCAACGGAATATTAATAAACCGTGACGTGCAAGGCAAGTGAAATTTTTTCGCTTTTGGCTTTGTATTTTTTTTTGAAGAAGCATCTCTAAACACTCTGGCCACGTGCGTCAGCCATGGATGGTTGTTGTCCATTTCCATTATTGGCCAGTTTGAACCTGACACAGTCAGAGGAGCATTTTATACCAAGCCAAATTGCTCAATCCACCGGCTGACGCAATCGAAGCGCCAATTTTGGCCACCCCAACACAGTGCAATGGCGGCGAACGAATAATTTGGGGCGATGTTCGTTAAAAAGCCGGGCCAAGTCGGTTGTTTGGCTCATGACGTGAATGCCAATTAAACCAACAAAAAAAAGTAGAAAAACCAAGCATTGACAATTGAAATTGAAAATTTGCCTAACACGCGCCAACCGATTGTTTAAATTAAAGTTGTCTTTTCTACCAATAATTAAAGATTACTCAATGGGCGTTTGATTTTTGGATGTGGGTCTATGCAGGTCACGTATGTCGTCCAGATTACGTTCGGAAAGTAATATGCCATCGATAGATGTCATTGCAAAATGCCCGATTGGAGTCGAACTAGTCCGAAGGTCACATCTCCATAATTGCCATCGAAAGCGATGGCATGGCCAATTCCAATTTCCAGGCAACAGAATCAGCCAAGGATGTAGAACAAGTTACAACATATGCCTGACTAAATTGGTTTTAGCCAGCATTTAAATAAATAAAAGTACTAGTTTTCCTCCCTAAACAGGAAATTATAGCGAAAGCGTGTTGAAGTGTTAAAGGATGTTCCTAAATGGGGAAAGGTATTCAGGTAGGTGCGAGGGGATTGCGCCACCTGACATGTAGTATGACTGCAGAAATTGCTTCGTCGCTGATGCAGCATGCGGGTGTCAGATACGAGTTACCAGATACAAAATATCTCTCTCCTTCCGCCTCCTCGGGATGTGTGTCTGAATCAACAGAACGGAAATTTATTTCAAAATACACAGAACACAGGATGCAGAATGTAGTTTGCTCTCGCCACTCTGCCACCTTTTAATAAGACAAACACACGACATCATAGTTGCTGCAAAATGACACAAAAACATCCAAAACAGAGAGATAGAGAGAGTTAGGGGGAGGGAGGATGGTGTGAAATTTAATGAAAAGCGAGTGCCACACATGGCGTATACGTAATGAGCAACTGTAATGCAATAAGCCGAATGCCAGTCTATTAATTCCCAAGGTTTTCTAACACCGACTGCCATGTAAATATCCATTCAAGGATGGAGAGAATATGAATTTTCAAAATTTCATTATTCATTATTCAGACATTTTTGCCACAAAATTTTCTATGCCACACTGGTGCACTTATTCAATCAACCTGATCAGATTCCTGCCTGCCACACATTTCGATTTGGATTTTATGGTAATTAAGAGAAAATTATTCTGGCATTTTGTGGTAAAATGATGAGTCAGTTTCAGATAGTTCAAGTATCCCCACATTTATGAATGAAATTATAGTCTCGGCTTGGGCAATAACTGACCTGGTAGGTCACCCAAGGAAAACACGACCACTGCGAAAACGGTAAGCCCAAAAACGTCAAATGCAGGTGCCATGGCAACCAAGAATAGAGCTCCCTAGCTGCAGGGCTTTGGAGGTTGGTTGGTTTTAGCCAGAAACCGGTTGGTCAGGAATCGGGATAGCATTTTGGGCCAGAGCATCTGCAAAAAAAAAAAGCGAAACTCGTACCAGGCATTTACATGCGGTTTGTGTTGTATTTTTTATTTTTTCGCTTTCTTAGGTGCCACTTTAGTGTGTCACTGGGCTGCCCACATTGCAGTTTTTTTTTCTATGCTCGTTAATGCCTCGAAGATGCAACGATGATGATGATGCACAGCTGGGAGGACTGGTTTGCCATTTAAATGGAATTTATGCTGCCGTACCTCAAATGCGAACTCCAACTTCAAGTCTTGCAGCTTTTGCCAAATGAAGCATGAAGCTGGCAACTGAAGGAAAATAAGAAGAAGCTACCCACACATACACTTTAAAAAAATATTAGCCAAAAATCAAGTCTTTAAAGGTAAGATTCCAATTCCAATTCCTTCCATTTCCAACTCTTTGTTAAAAATGCCTTTCAATATAAAATAAATTTCCCAATTTCGCAATAAAATTCATTACAGTGATTTTTCTTTTTCTTCTTTTTTTTGGTTCAAATGGCGAAGGCGATCAACTAAACCTTAATGCCAATGAAAACGTGAGAATGTCGCCGCCTTCTTCAGTTGAAGATGCACTTTCCGAGATTTTTATCGCAAAAATTTCGCTTGGATTTTCCTTTTGTCGCATTTAGCCAGAAGGGCCAATGAAAAACTACGTGAAAAACTAACAAAACGTGAGCGGAAAATTAAATAATTGAAAAGCCACCGTAGAATAGAGTAAAGTAGCAACGAAAGTGTGTGCCAGTCGATAGATAAATGCATTGTGATTATTCACTGGCTTAGCAAATGAAAACGAAATTGGCCATTGACCACCAAAAATCAATAAAAATAAATGAAGACAAATATCGTAAAGTAAATAATTAAAAAAAAAAAAAAACCTCAAGACTTGTGGAGAATAATTTTTGTATTTTAGAGCAAATGTTTAGATATGCAAACGGCGTGCCATCGTCGGACAGACAGACTTGAATTATGGCAGCCAGAAGATGCGTTGACAAGTCCCAAGAAAATAAAATAAAAAAGCCCGAAAATTAAAGGCCCTGTCAATTGGCGCAACATCAAATAACATCACAGAAAAACGACGAAAAAACTTTATATTATATATACATATATACACTGTGGATGTGGTGGCTTCTTTCATGGGCTAACAAGCATCACGAAAGCGTGTCCGAAGAAGGGCTGTGCTGATCACATTTGAAATGATGCGAGAAGCACCTCAGAAGCATGTTTGATGTTCGGAAGCATAAATTTCACAAGATTTCTCTTTGGTTTAATTGGCCAACGAAATATCGCATTACAGTCTGAGACTTATCCTTCCAGACACTGCAATTTAGAAAGATTTTCGATTGGCGGAGGAGGAGGAGTTGAACTTTTCGCAACAAATAAACGACTGTCTTGATTGCAGCAACGATTGCAGCGAAATTGAGACTCTGTCCGTGCTGGTTTCGTTTGGCTGTCTTTGATTGATGTTACAACAACAATATTTGTCCTGGCCACGCCCCAGAACAGTGCCAGTCAACGAAGTGAACAATAAATCAGCCAAAAGGCATTAGAGGACGGCGACAACACACCCACGCCAATCAATTGTCGAGCTATAAGACCCTTACTATGGCTGTAAGGTGGGTTATTAAATCCCCATCGCCCGAACGCTTCATAATGTAGGCATATAAACAGGCCTTCCCCAAAAGCGGAAGGAACTAACGGCTAAAAAAACAAAAGCTTACTTCCTGCCACCTAGGTCTCCACCTCTTGGTGTTTATGAAATATAAATAAGCTGGCTGAACATTCAAACTGTAAGAAATCCAAAATTACACGCAATTTATGGATGGAAGCAGGTGCAGGAAGTGGGCGTGGCTGGCGAAGGGGGCTTTAAAGAGCACGCGACAAGCTAAAAGGTCACTGAGCGAAAAAAACTAGAGACTTTTAATTAAATATTAAACAACTTTTATGCTTAAATCTTGGGGAAGATATAATAACCTTGGTACTTGGTAGAATATTTAATAAAAAATCATATTCTTTAATCTTTAAAATTTCTTTCACTGCCCAGCCAAGTCTTTGGGCGGCGTGGGTGGGTGGCTTGCAGCAATTACCATTAAGCCGATTGTAGTTTACACTCTGTGTGCCACACACCAACACACAACTAAGAACCTAAGCTGAAACTAAATGCGCATTCGGGGCGCGCTACGTTTTCATTTTCATTCACATTCCGAGTCGAGCGTTATTGTTATGACCCACTACCACCAACCTAGTAACTACTACTAGTACTAATACTAGTACCTGACTGGTCTGCGCATTTTCACACTTGTAAATCAATTAATTTTACAGGTTATTGTTGTTGCCTGCCACCTGCTGTGGTCGGTCATTTAGACTAAGCGCCGGCTAAGCCAAGGACTGGACTGGCTCTGAAGCCCCTGGAATGCCCCACTTGTGTAGTGCCGGCAGCTCGTGGGAACGAGGGCCCTCCTTTACCTTTGTTGTTCACCCTTTTGTTGTTTTGAAAGCAAATTGCCGGCCGTAACTGTTGGACGGGCTTGAAATGTAATTAATACATGGCCCAACAACTTGATCCCCAAAAGCCCCCACCACATTCGGGGTCAATTGTGTGTTAAGGAATCTCTAATCTCTAGTAGGCCTTTGAATAGTATTCCTTTTGGCATTTGTGGCCTAAAAACATAAATAAAACAATTTGATTTTCGGAGATTTTTAACAAAATTTGCAAGTAAATATTCAGAGCATTTTCCAATTTTGTAACCAACCTGGACCTTTAGCTTAGAAGCTTTACCGAATGGAGTCCAAGTTACTTGAAGTATCGCCAGAGGGCCCTTTGACCTTCTCCACCGCCAAGAACGCGCAGGAACTTTTCATCACGAATGTGAGCGGCGATGCGGTTACCTACAAGGTGAACTCCACATCCATATCCATATACATCTCATCTACAGACATCTTAATTTTAATGACAGCTCCAAAGCACTGTGTTTGGAAAGTTTAGTATTCGGCCACGCTGGGGCGTCTTGAGGGCAAAGGAGCAGATCCAAGTTATGGTCTCGATGAGCCGGGAGGCGGAGCTCTCGAAGAAGGGCCGCGACAAGATTGTCATTCTCTGCATGAAGGCGCCCATGAATGAAGTGGACTACGAGGCCACCGCCTCCTTCTGGCGGCGCAATATCTGCTACAATCCGCGGGTCGAGAAGCATCAGGTCATCTGCCAGGAGGACAGCACTGAGCTTAAGGATCACAAGCAGGAAGCGAGTCAGTCCAAGGCATCGCTGCGCACTGAGAGAAAGATCTGGCGGTAGTCTGGTCCATAACTGCTTCTGGTCCTAATGGCCACAATGACTCGGTAATTGGTTAGTCGTCTTACCCTCCAAGCATATGTACCTCAATGGCCCAACAATGTTGATGATGAGCCTTCATTAAAAACTGAACTGAAAGCATCTATCCCAGGGTGGGTGTGTGTGTGTGTCATCATCAAGTGGCTTCTAGGATGCTCGAGCATCCTGTCTACGTTACGTGAAGTGCATTTGCCGGAGGGGGCCACAACCCCATGCTGAGAAATGGCAGATAAAAAGCTAGAGATTGCTGGCATTTCGGGGATGGGATCAGGGCTCTAGGTTGTAGGGTAGGGGTATCTACATCGATTGACATTCAGGTGGGTTGACAAGTTTACTCGTCAATTAACCAGCAAATTGTGTAACCCGAAACGGTAAACAATGAGGGGGAAGCCATACAGGTTTCAACTCCTCTGGAATTTAAGGTTTTATAGAATTGAAGTCCCGAGTCTTAAAGAAAAGGAAGCTTTATTCCAAAAAGAAAACAACTGGTAACTTAATCAAGAAAAAGGCACTCAGCCAGCAAATTAGGTTCATGTCTCAACCATAGTTGTGACCCAAACAAGTCCAAGGGGGCCAAAACAAACATTTGGATGATGATGTGGCGGACGGTTGGTTGCCAAAACTGGCCACTTGTTCTGCTTGAGCTGATATTGTTGTTTTTGTTGCCAAAGGGTGGCCAACAGCCCTGAACAATGGAGTAAATCATAGCCATGAAATATGTGCCAACCTGACTGGTAATAATAATGAAAATACAAAATAACCCAAGTGGGTGGGTCAGACTAGTCGGAATATTCATTCATCGCTGGTTACCTTAGCCTTGTGCAATTGCAGTTTGTTTGCCGGAATTTACGAGCCAACCCGCAGCCGTAAGAATATCACAAAAACCAGACGTGACCAGCGCAAATATTTGGAGAAAGACAAAGAATACCCCAGAAAGAAAATAAAAATAAAATGTACAATATATACATATAAAAATTGTAATAAAATTGCAGCTCATGCGAGCGATAAAACTTAACCCCTCGGCGAACACAAAAACGCAACTTCAACTCCCTCGGAAATCTCAGTCGTAAACTATAAAATGACTTGGCACACTGCTTAACCCTTTGGTGACCTTTTTTCCCTGTTTTCTGCATGATTTAATGCGTAATTTTCAGGAGTTGGCGAAATTTTTTGGATAATTTATCATTTCCATTGGGGGAGAAGGAGGAGTGGTGCACCTGCCTGTGGCAGTTCACCTTTTCCATCCAAACAAATGGCTTTGAATCCAGGGCCTGGCGGGGTAGCAAGCTCATTGACATTTGAGATTTAGTGGTGAGTGGTGGACCATCGACCATCGGAGCCTTAATTAAAATTTTGGCCAGTGAATAATAAGCCGACTGGCAGGCAGGCCTGGTCCGAACCATCTCGGTTGATAAATGTCCTGGCAAGTCCTGGATTTTCCACACACAGGCCCCACACAATTTTCATGGAAATTGTTTTTACCGAAAAATGCAAAAGGCTGCAATTTATTTGCATACTACTAGTAGTAGTAGTAGTAGCCCGAAGTGGGAAGTAAATTTTGGTGAAAATTACATAAAACTTTGCGGATTAGAAGTGGAGCTAGGATGAAGTTTTTACTGCGAAAAACTACGACCAGTATTGAGATTTTTTATTTTTTTTCGGAGAAAGGTAGTGCAGATTTATGGCCAAACTAAATAAATAAAATATAAAGTTTTGGTATTAAGCTGCAAGGGAAATCCAAATCAATTAGCTGGCTTTCTGTTTGTAAGTAATTTTCAAGTCAAATTCAAAAACTAATATCGGAATAGCTTTTAAGATATTTTGTTAATTATACAACTTTTTTCAATATGATTGGAATGCAATATGCTATCTTCCACATGCTCTTCCAACTCTGACTCTCCCACATCCAGTTATCCATCCCATCCAGCCCCCTGGAAAGCAATTAAAAATTTAATGCATATTCCGGCCTTTGATTTAAGTCATACCCCTACAGAGTACATTCTTGGACTTTAGTTTTTGCCTCCTCGGGGCCTGCAGAGACCTCATTCCCAGGACATGAAATATTTCGGGGTGGTATGATGGGCAAGATATTTTCAATTTATGTAAATGGGGGGCCGCCAGGAAGTCCATATTAATTACACCAGTATGTGCGGTTATCCAGCAAAAGCAATTTAATTTTAATAGAAACTCATCATCATCTGATAGCTATATCCAAGATACTAGATTATAATTCTATTTATGGGACCCATCCATAAATCCAAGGTGCAGTTTTCAATTAGTGTGGATCGGATTTTGATTGATTTGCAGGTGCATCGCTGCCGTCTACAGTCTTGTAATTTGTCGTCTCTTTGGGAGTTTTTCCTCCATTTTCCCCAGCCCTCAGAGCCATAACTCACACACTTTGAAATGCAACACATGGCGGCTACACAGCAGAGACTGCAGAGATTTTCCCGGACCCGGACCCGGCTGCCCGGACTGCAACTCTGTGTGTTTCTTTGCCTTTTTCTTTGTGCTTCACTTTGAGAGTGATGCCTTCCTCCACTTTGCTGCCATTTGCTACCATATCCTTTCTGTTGTCTATTTTTATCCCCAGACCTGCCCTGGTACTCCGACTTTTCCCCAGTTCTCTGGGGTTCGTTCGCATTATCGCCCCAGACCCGGACTCGGTATCGGAGTGGAGTACCCCACCGGGCACCGAGAAAGGCAGCTGTGGATTTGTCGTAATTGTATATGTGGAGTGGTCTCGTCCATCGCACCATCGCAGCTACCTCTTTAATAAACTTTCCTCTGTCTCTTTGCCTCCATCCATCCCTCCACCGAGTGTCTGTACTTCTGTTTCTATTTAAGTGGGCACCCCTTGCCGAGAAATATTCCTCGACTTTCCAACAAAATAAAAAATCTGCATCCAGTGTTTGTAGGCTGCGGAAGAATATCTATATTTTTATCTTTAAATTAATTTCCAGACCCCAAAGTACCACTTGATATTTTAAATATAATATTTAATTCTCAGAATCTTAAGAAACTGAGAGTCTTTCTTTCGAGAATTCCCCCTTGCATCTAAAATTAGACTCCAGACCATGTCGATGTGGCAAGAACATCACGCTCATTAAGCGGCCATGGCAATGGCAACGGCCACAAGGGGCACAGACTTTTAATTTGTGGCATAAACAACTGCTCCATGGCTCCCGTTTTAAAACATTCTTATTGCATTTTAAATTGGAAATAAAAACTATTAGTGAAGCTAAACTAAGTGAGATTCCCAAGTGGTTGAACTTTCGTTGATTTTCCAGAAAGGTTGAACATACCTGGAAATAAAGAGAAGGATAATATTTTAATAAGTAAATATACTAAGGAATAGTTGGTTATTAAGAGTACTAAATAGTTTAAAAAAAAATCTCTAGAAATCTCTCTGGACTGAGTTATAGGAGGCCCAGATGGTAACTATTAGAGACCAGACATAGGTAGCTGAATTAAGTCGACGCCTCCAGGTGGACCACCAAATGGAGGCAGCAGCATGCCCAGCATGGGTACATCGACATGGACATCTCCTTGAGCAACTATCTCCAGGTCAGACCAGGATCTTCAGGTCTTTTCTCATAAAGGTAGCTGAACAATGTCTTTCCAAAGTTTTGACTCTTAAAACCTTTCCCCTTTCAGAGTGACTTTCAGAGTATTCTATGGTCTCTGGGATCAAAGATCACACGGATCTGTATCCCATGGTCTAAGGATCACACCAAGAGGTGGAAGGCGACCTGAACCTAAAGTACCGGAATTTGCCAATGACTTCCATCTAGAAACTATCACTTGTCCAAAATCGAAGCTCAACAGAAAAGGTCTACAAGCCCCAAAGAATTGAGATAGCTCATCGTCTAATATGTTCTACTATGTCACCTCATTAAAATACCAATTAAGCCTTGAATTCAAAAACATATTTAATTATTCGAGCAATCAATTTTGTGGCAAATGCTTTGATAACACAGCTTAGTGAAATTATTTGCCAAATCCTAATCCTCTTTTGGGGAAATACCCAACTCAATAAACATATGCCCGCGAAATGTGTTTAAAACCAAAATTAAATATTGTTCCCCTTCAGAACATTCACATAAATCCGCTTATTTTCGCATGAATTGAGTTCAAAAAGTCAAAAGCAAATATAATATTCCGCCCGAAGAGAAACACATCTGCACTTTAACGCAGATTTGCTTCGTGACAAAAATGCAAAAGTTTCACAAAAAAAAAAACACAACACGAATGGAATAAATTATATATAAATACAGAGAGTAGGAGAGTGTGTACTTTTCGATTTAAAATGCGCGTAAATTGTTTGGTATTGGAGAGCTAAGAGCAGGTCTATATAGTTTGGAAATTCCAAAATAGTATCCCCCCGAATGTGTAAACAAATAGAGCGATATAGCGATTGTTTCAAAAAAAGAAAAACATTTCCGCAGCGACACTCTGATTGCCATTACCCCCGATCCCTATACCAATTCCAGGTCCAGATCTCTCGTCGCTTCTGGTGGGAGATGCTGAGAGACAGAGACCCGAGGCTGAGCCCCGGGTCTGGCCATTTAATCAGTTTAAATTGACACTGGGGGTCAAATTCATTAAGATAGAATTCCTTTTTGTTTTTGTTTGTGCCACTTGGGCGTTGGCTTCCAGCGACAACGCGGTGGAGAATTTCTAAATCATAAAATTAAAAAAAAACGCAAAATAGATGAGACTCGATGCTAGAGGCATTTTCCATTAGGCGGTGGCACTTGGAGGTGCACCTAGGCCGGATAATTGTATCGCTCCGGAAACCAAATCACTTACAGCTGTCAAACTCAAGGTTTTTTTGTTCAAAAAAAAAAAAAATCATATAGGCATATAGGAGGTACAATGTTTATAGATAACTTTAAAAATAGGCCTGGACTGGGGAGTGGGGTCTCGCCTTGAGCAGGATATGCGTGACTGGCATTGAAATTAAACAGAAAAATATTTTTTGCGAGGCGAGAGACAGAATGACAAGGTTTTGGATGGAGGGTGGGTGTACTAGGGTGGCCTCAGATACTGTCGACGTGGCAACCTATAAAGAGGCTTCCATAAATAAATGTAATGGC